CGCCGCGTGAACTCCACCCCGAAGCGACGACCGGCGGCACGCCTCGCCTCGAACAGCGCCGGCGCCAGCGCCTTCAGCGCCTCCAGCTCCTGCAGTTCGTCCGGATACTCCATGTGCAGAGTGATCAGCAGCGGAGACACGGCGCCCGAGTCCAGCGTTTTGCCGACGTGCTCAGCCAGCCGGACCCCGAATGACCACTTCCACGCCTCTTTGAGAGGAGTCACCGACGCTGTAAGAGAAAACGATGACACGAGTGAGGCTCAGCTAGCAGGCAGTAAGCAGTAGAGGGCGCTAGGGCAGTTACTCACAGTCGTCGTACTCGAGCAGGTCGTGCTTCAGCTGCAGCGCCACGAGCCGCTCGCGCACGAGCGCGGCGATGGGCGCGGACAGTGCGCACGCGAATGTCTCGCACTCGTACCTGCGGAATTATGTACTTCTATGCAATCTTAGATTATAAATATGTCTAGATACAGCGTCACCATACAATAGCAATAGAAATGACATTGCAAAATTTGTTGCATGTGTGCATGCGGCTTGTGGTTTACACGGACCAAAAACGATACCAGCTACAATATTCTATCTCCCATAAATATTTTAGTACATGTCTTTATTATTTATTTAAGGACAAAACAGTCACATAAAAAATCTTGCATAAGAAAACAATAGGTTCAAAAAGACTTCGAGTTCCATACAATTTGAAGTGTAGTATAAGTACCTACCCACAATTTATTTTAAACAAAATACACAAGTACATGCAGTCAAACATAAGTTACATTATTTTACGTGGTCTTGAAGAGTATGTTGCGCAATTCCATTTTATAAGATGTTAAACTTTGGTTAAATATATCTATTTCATTTAATTTATTATTATAAATGTTTGTGCTACGTCTGAAGAAGCTATTACTGGTGTAAACTGTTTTATAGAAGGAACTGAAAAAAAAACTTTTGTGAACAGGAACCAGGTCTGGGTACTTTTATAGCAATTTTTTCTAAAATGTCAGGGGCATCAATGAAATTATTCAAGATGTACTAGACCATGTAGAAGTAAATAATATGTAACCATCTCTTATAATTTTATTTTAAACTTTTTTTATTGGACATTGCATGTTTATATTTTGTCACCTCACACAAGTAATTTATTTTCCATATAAAACAATTATTAAATATTCAAGTAAGACATTTTTACGATTGGAATTACTCGATGCATGCATTTCACTGCTAATTTTTGAAATGCTTTCCGTGAAGTGACACTCCATCTAGACATTATGTATTGTAATCAAAGTGTGCTATGTAAGGCCTCATTGTGGGGTGTCCGTCATACATTGCTCATATTATTATTATTTGCATTTGCGCGAGCAATGATGCAGCCTATATGCTATGTATTATAGAAAAAAGATTTTTTTTTTATACTTCATTGTAACATGTAAACAAACAATTGCAATCACTGGTTCTCAGACAAAACATATTTAACTCGTTGAGTACCGTCATTATAGACACAATTAAAGAACAATAGGTTGCTGTCACCGGTGACCGCTCAGTGTTTGACAGTTTAAACACAAATCAGCCTACATTGTTAAGGTGTACAATAATGCCATGGTACTGAATACTGACCCCTTCTTGTCCAATACTTCTTTGACCATGTCACAACATGGCTGCCAATTGTCTTCCTGAAGCACTCCCAAGCAGCTGACACAGATACCACCAACTTTGATTCGCTTTGTGGGCGGCTCCGGACATTGATGTGTTGAGTTCTGCTCAGCCGTTGATTCTCTCAGCTGTGTGGGCAGGTCTCTTGTCTCTGTGTCTTGTGCGTGTTTGCCACTTTCTTCACACTTACAAAAATAAACTAAAATAGTATTACGTCAACCACAACCATATATGTTAAGTCCGTCAGCTGTAGAAGTACTGTGGGTAACTGATACCTGTAGACTCCAAATTCTTTACAGTTAATAGTTTAGCACTATTTGTACAACAAATATTGTATTTACCTATCTATGAAATAAAAGCGCTAAAAATAAAAACTGCTGCATAACTATTAATTTACAAATAAAAGCAGAATGAAGAGGCAGTTCTAGAGGACTTTTCTCGCCTGCCTTACAAATGTATAATGGTGAGCTCGCTTTGAGATATAAAGATGTCTCCGTATGTTAATATTGGTCAGTAATTATTCGCAGGATAAACAACATGCTATAATTTTAAGGTTACATGGAAAGTAGGTAAGATATTAAAAACAATGTAATAAACCACTGTTAAACAACACGAAATCCAGTTACACCTCGAGTTTTTTCTCTGTTAATGTTATTTGTGGAATAATATTAAAAAACTTACAATTTTGTGAACAAACTGTTGAACATTCTCATATGCTGTTGGATTCTTAAGTCCTAAATACCTAAGACAACATGCGTCACAGCATCCTAAATCTTTACACAATTTTATAACAGCTTTTTGGTTCATTTTACTGAGTGTTTGTCTCTCAAAAATCTTAAAATACTATAATAATAACATGACATGGGAATCACAGGCTTAGCCTAAACTCATGCTTGTTTTGATTTGATTCTAACTTTTGTTTGACGTTTGACAGTATTTGGGATTGACAATGACATTGGCAGCTGACAGCTTATACTTCCTAATTTAATAATTTTCCTATGGACCGAATGACGACAACGACAAATTAATGATTAACTTGAAATAAAAATCGAATAAGTACCCATATTTCGAATTTTTGAGACCGCGTCTAGGCAAACGTAGATTAGGGCGCCCTCCAGCTAGATGGAGTGACGATATACGTAAAGGCTGTGTGGCTGGTAGTGGTTCGATGCCTAGAGCTGAAGACCGAGCTCAGTGGCGTGCCATTGAAGACGCTTATGTCCAGCAGTGGACGAAAACAGGCTGTTGATGATGATTTCGTTAGGTTTTACCTACATTAGTTGTATAGTTTTTATGAATAAATTTAAACCGATTAGATCATGAGATTTAAAGTAGGTAAGATAAGTTATTTATTAACTAAATTATTATCTTAGTATATTATCTTCCTAACCAAGCATGTAGAATTTAATGTAGAATAGGTACAATTTTCTCAATCAGGTGTAGCTACGTTTTAGCATTGCAAATGGCAATTCAAGATGAATAAAATACTGACTTTAAAAACCAGATAGGAACAATAACTTTCATTCATTCATACATTAATACAGGTTAAACTGAGAACTCCTTCTTTTAAGTTGGTTAAAAAGCAAAAAGACCGGCCAAATTGAGAACGTCTATTTGAGAAGTCGATTAACTATACATAATTATAAAAATGCAAGTATGAATAGTAAGAGGCGTCGCGTCGCATTGGTTCGATTTTCCCAGCGTCAGCTGCCGGCGGCGGTGCGCGGAGAGGCGGCGCATAGTGTGTCAAGGTGATGATGATTCAATGTGCTCGTGCTGGCGCTGACAATGACGATGTCCGTGTGAACCGTACTCGTGACGTAGACCGCTACTGTGTCACTACTTACTATGTAATGTCAATTAACATCGGCAGACATACACTTAGGTATTTACCTAAACATTGTCAGTTATTACAGTCCACAGAGAAGTGGTTTACTTTGATTGCCTTAGAAACTATGGCTTCGAAACAACAGATGAAATTAGAGGTAGGCTAGCTGTTTCCCACGACTTTATCCGCGTATATTACGCAATATTACTTCTGGCAGGATGTTGATTTTTTTAATTAGTCTTTTCCAAGGCGATTTCCAATGCCGTGTTACAAACCTCGTCAAAATCGATTCAGTACCTAAGTTACATTTGTTGAGAAATTAATTCATTTTCGTCACTTCAAAAAATAAACAAACCCACAGGGGTTTTACCCGTATAGTGTCCGTTTCCGTGAGGTTTCAGTGAAAGAAATTATTCTATGTTCTTACCCGGGTTGCAAATCATTGTTGTACTGAATTCCAATCAAAAAAGATACAGTGGTTGAAAACTCTCAGGTGTCCTTTTCCGAGTCCCGGAATTTTAACACATAGTTCCTATCCCGAAATGAAGGCTTTCTCTTCATTTAATTTGAATCTCCCGCACTTTGCGTTGTTGTTTTACTATACGTCCTTTCCAGTGGCAGTGTCAAAGAGTAAGTATAGGGGAAGGCAGTGTCTTAAACTGTCGTTCGACCAAATTTCAATAAAAAGTTTTTGTTTTGTTTTTTTTAAAAAACGTTGGCACATTAGGATTTTCTCCTTTAATCGTTTAAAAATGAGAGTCCCGAGATTTAAAGGTATTTCCCGTTCTCGTCAGATTTCCAAGTTAGAATTAGTAGTTTTTTCGGTATTCTGCGATTGTCCGTTATTTTACGTTATTTTTAGATTAACAATCCTTTATCTATACGACATACAAGGAAAGTTGTCTCTTTTACAAATTATAATAATCTCTCACCATTCAATAATATGTCACATTCGTTACTTTTAACGTTTGGCAAAACAAATCTAATATATTTTGTTTTTTTATTGTTTAGTACTAAGTTATTTAATTTAAACCAATTTTGAACCTTAACTGGGGCATTATTTATTTCGTCATAATTATTTCTTCGTTTATCTATTTTAAAAACAAATGTAAATAATAAATAAATAAAAAAGCCTTTATTTGACCTTGATTACAAGAATTGTTTTTCTTACATTCTATGTTATTAAATATTTAATGTTCCTTATATCTAGGTAGCGAAATGTTTATACTAATAGCTACTAGTTCAAATCTTACTTACTTTTTAGTTTCTTATAACTAGATGCTAATATAATGTTTGTGTTTACAAAAACTACTCTTTACTTAGTTTTTTTTTTTAACTTAACATTATTTATAACTGGATAATAGAGTGGTTATTACTACTGTTTGACTATTTATTAAGGTCCCCAGATTGGGTAAAGGCCTCCTCCAAATTTGTCCACCTATCTCTGTCCTGTGCTATTTGCCACCAGTCTGGGCCTGCGATTTCTTTTATTTCATCGACCCAGCGTGTAGTGGGTCTACCTCTCCTTCTCTTGCCTAGCGGGCCTCTCCATATTGTGGATATGTAGGTCCATCTATTATCAGTGAGCCTCGCTACGTGGCCGGCCCACCTCCATTTTGCTTTTAAAGCGAAGCTTAAAGCATCAATAGCTTTTGTTGTAGTTCTTATTCTAGTGTGCCTGATTTTTTCTATTTTCTTCACTCTGAGCATGCTTCTCTCCATTCCCCGCTGACAGGTGACGATTTTTTGTCTAGCTTTTGAGGTAAATTTCCATGTCTGACACCCATATGTTAGGCAAGGTAGTAGAGTCGAGTTCATAGTCTTAGTTTTCAGAGGTATGGGCATATTACTTTTGAATATTTCTCTCAAACTCCAGTATTTGCGCCATGTTTGCTGTATCCTTCTGTCGATCTCTAGTTCGTTGTTTTCTGTCCCAAAGCTGATGGTTTTCCCAAGGTAAATGTATTTATCTCTGTATTCTAATGGGTTTCCATTAATTTTAATTTGTTTTTTGTAGCTGTTTGTTAGTACCATGGTCTTAGACAAATTAATTTCTAGCCCGACTTTGGTGCTAGCCGATTGTAAGGCTTTAATCATGATCTGCAGTTGTGAGCTAGTCTCCGACAGTATTACTATATCATCTGCGAACCGTAGGTGACTTAGAAAAACTTTATCTATGAGGATACCGCGTTTACTCCATTCTAGATTGTCGATAATGCTTTCGAGTACAGCTATAAATATTAATGGTGATAGAGGGTCGCCCTGTCTCACACCTCTCATTATGGGAAAGCTCGGGCCAAGTGTATCTAACTTTATTCTGCCTATATTGTTAATGTATATGTTTTTTATTATATTTATATATCCTTCGCTTACTCCTTGTTCTTTCAAACTATGCCAAACACTGTCGTGGGATACTGTATCAAATGCCTTCTGATAGTCAATAAAGCCGAGGTATAGTGGTCTTTGTTGTTCCCGATACTTCTCTACAATTAGCTCTAGTGTGTGAATATGATCCACCGTAGAAAAACCCTTTCTGAAACCGGCCTGCTCTACAGGTTGTTTTTCTTCAATTATGGGGCTGATTCTTGAGTTTATGATGGACGAAAAAAGCTTGTACAGTGATGGAAGTAGACTAATGGGTCTATAGTTACCTATATCTTTTGGGTCTCCTTTTTTATATATTAAAATAATATTTGATTCAGACCACTGTGTAGGCGTTTCCAGAGTTTGAATTATTAAATTGAATAGTTCGGTCAGCGGAGTAGCTAGGATGTGATAGGCGTACTTTAAAGCTTCATTTGTTATGTAGTCTGAACCGGGTGATTTTTCAGATTTTAGTCTTTTTATTCCTTCTATAATATCTGTTTCAGTGACTCTTTCGATGTTCTGTTCGTTATTTATATCTGTGCTAGACTGCTCGAGAAAACTTTCGGCTGAGCTTAATGTACTGTTTTGAGCTGGGGTGGTTTCCTTTTTAGATCTGTATAAGCTCTTGTAAAAGTCAGTTGCTGCGGTGATGATGTCTTTCCTGTTGTTGAGGTCTTTTCCAGAGTCTTTTAATCCTTCTATCCAGGTCTTACTTGTACGGAGTTCTTTGAAGGCTCTCTTTGTGCTTCCGGTTAGGTTGAGATGTTTTTCTATGATCTGCTGTCTGTACTTTGCGTAATCATTTCTTATATATTTATTCACCAGTTTGTAAAGCGCAGAGAGTTCATTCTTCATTGCTCGTGATTTATTTTTAGTTTTTTGTAATGTTTTTCTCCGTTTTAAAAGAGATGCTGTTCGTTCCGACAGCCATTTGTGTCGTTTGTGTTCTTTTCTTGTTGCTTGCACTGACCTTAGACTTATGGTAATTGCGTTTGTAATGAAGTCATAGTGTGTTTGTACAGAGCCGGATTTGTGGCAATCTTTGTGGAGAGCTATATGTTTCGATAATGTTTCCCTATACGAGGAAATTTCTTCATCATATTTTAATTGGTTATTTACTTGGTTTATGTATTTTACTCTACATTTATTATTGATACCTATATTAATTTTTGCTCTTATCATTCTATGGTCTGAATTATAGTTCAGATTTAACGTACCAATGTCTTGAAAAACATTTGGTAGGTTTGATAATATATAGTCTATCTCGTTTCGAGTTTTTCTGTCTGGAGATTTCCACGTCCATCTTTTGCTTGGCTTCTTGTTAAAACATGTATTCATTATTTTTAGTTTATGCTCCAAAGCGAAAAACAAATGTAATGTCAGCAAATACCATCTGCGGTTCATTTTTCAATAAATGGGACAAGCATTTATATATGCTAAAAATAAGAATGGACCTAGTATCGAGCCCTGCGGTACACTCATAAATATGCTAGCACCCTGTGAATTTACTTTATTTGTCTGTACTGTTAATTGCCTATCCTGAAGGTATGATATTAGCTGACTGTATGATTTAGCGACGTCTCCTGAATGCCATAGTATTCCAGCTTCAGCAATAGTTTCTCATGTTAAACACAGTCGAATGCCTTCGAAAGATCACAAAATATTCCGATGGCATCCCGTGCTTCTTTCCATGAGGCGAAAATCC